CTAGTTTGGGCAATTTGGGCTTCTCAACATTTTTTATAAGCATGAACATTAAAAAACTATATGAATCAATTTGTTTTGACTTAAACAACTTTAAAATAATTTCGCCCAATTTTGGCTAATAACAAAAAGTAGTTTGGGCTTATAAAAAAAAATTTTTGCCCAAAGTATTTGGGCAATTTCGGCTACTAATACAAGCAGTTTCGGCCAGAAACCTTAGACCTGACCCGACTTGTTCGGAGCTCTAATTGTGTAAATACTTTTTTAATTTAATTATTACATTCTTAAATATATATATAAAATACTAATATAAAAATAGATACAAAAGTAAATATTAAAAAAAAAATCATGTTGCCATTACTTCATAAAACTGTTTTTTTATAAATCTCTCTAAAACTAATTAACTAACACTAAATGAGATCAAAGGAGCTTGAAAAGCAAGTTTTGTAAATATACTTTATGAATGCTTTATCTAGTTATATGATATGCAATAGTTCTTTATTACCATATATTTTTGTATCTTACTAAGTACTTGATTGAATTGAGTGATCTTAGATTCAAAAGAAAGCCTGAATTCTATTGCACATAATATTCAAAACTTATTTATAGTTAATATTTTAGTAGTTATTTAATATTGATTTTAATCACAATTTGTTGATGCATTTTAATAATATTATTACATTTCTCTTCTTTTTGACAATTTGTATATTATTGTTGCTTGCTCACATTATCTAATTATTTTAATCATCATTATTTATGTAGAAATGAAATGTAAAAGAAAAACTTTAAACTGCATTTATTTCTTACAATTGGACAAAAATTTTACTTGCAGATCATCCAATTTTGCAATTAATTACAACAAAATGTGGTACACTTTTGTCCAGCATGGATGATGATAGTGGTGATAATTTAGTTGATGATTCTGATGATAGTGATGAATGTTTGGACATAAGTGAGGAAAATACTACATTTATACATAGAAAATTCATTGACTTAAATCATGAATTATTAATAAATGATGTTGATAGTAATTTAACTGATGAATTTGTTGAACATGGTGATATTGATTTTGGTATTGATGAAATATTAAATAGAGTAGAAAGTTAGATTATTTGATGAGCTAATTTTTTTTGGACCTTTACATTTTTATGGTTTTTTATAACAAATTTACAATAAATTTTTTGCTAGTAATGTGTTTTATGTAAGAATAAAAGAATATATCTATTGTTTTGATCTGTATGTAGAACTATTGCCATTTTGGGATTTGGGACAGTTTGGGATTTGGCTTTGGGATTTGGGACAGCTTTGGGATTTGGGACGACTTTGGGATTTGTACCACTTTTGACTTTGGGATTTGGGCATTGGATTTGGAATTTGGGATTGGGACTTGGCCTTTTGAGTTTGGGTGGCAAGTATAACTACATGATAAATATTAATTGGATCGGGTTCTATGCCAGACTGTTCTTCATCAAAATTATTTATTCTTTTTTTCAAAAATAACCTTTTATAATGAGCTTTGAAACTATTAATGATGCCCGCATCACATGGTTGTAAATGTGCTGTGGTATTTGGCGGTAAATAATGAATTTTTATGTTTGGGAAAGTGACACCACCTGTTAAGGTACACTTGGTGGACAAAAGTTTGCATCCAAAATTTCTTTTCAATTTATTTCAAAACTAAAATATTGTAATCTTTATATCATTCGAAAGCTCTTGTTCTTGAGAATATGTTTGTTACATTAAATTTTGAAGCTTTGTCATAAAAAAGATAAAAAATAAAAAATAAAAAATAAAAAAACGATGTAAAGATAACAAAATATTTTTAAATCAATTTTGAAAAATGGGAAAGAACTGCGAATTTAAATTTAATTGACATTAAATTTAAAAATAAAAAATGATGTAAAATAACAAAGTGTTGATAAATAAATGGCTTATTTTTTATTTCAAAAAAAAATTATTTAATATCTAGTTGGCCAACCATTGTTGACAATGCAATATTCAACCCTTCGGGACATACTGTCATGAACATATTCTCAAGAACAAGAGCTTTTGAATGATATAAAGATTACAATATTTTAATTAGCATAGTTTTGAAATAAATTGAAAAGAAATTTTGGATGCAAACTTTTGTCCACCAAGTGTTTTATTGAACAAACTTCAAATTTTTGTGCAGCAGTAAGGTGGATTGTGGTTTTTTTGTCCTTGTTGAGACATTAGAATTTTTTTTATTAAAAAAAGTTTAATTTTATATTGTGTATGGATTTTTATTATTAAATTTGGACAGACGGGATTTTTATTATTATAATTTTGTTTCGTGTATAGACAGACGGAATTTTTATTATTATTATAATTTTGTTTTGTGTACGGACAGACAAAAAGAAAATTTAAATTTCATGATAAAAATTTAAGCTTTATTTATATCCTCAAAACTTCAATATCAATGAAAAATAATTTGACGTTTTTAAAATAAACTAACCATTCAGTTCAAAGAAAACACAATATGGATTTTTTTTTACTTTTAGATTTCTTTTCCCATTTCTCTATTTTTGCCAATTAAATCGATGGCATTCATTTACCTGATAAAGTGTTTAATAAATCATTGTTAAAAGCAATATCCACATTTCCATCAATTGTTAGTAATAGGTCAATTATTTTATTTTACTTATTATCATTACAATTGAATATCTTGGATAGAAGCTATAAAATAAAATATGGCGAATGAGCAATTGCAGATGAATATCTTGTAATAGTAAACAAAAAGATCAAAATAAAAATACTTTTTAGTATGATCAAAAAATCCGGTATAACGCGACCAGTAATATATATTAATATATATTTTTTCAATAAATGTTCGTTATACGGAATAACGAGGTTTATTATATAAATTCGTTATAACGAGGTTTGACTATTCAAACTTAAAATAAAATCGAAGGTCATGAAGGTAACAGACAACCCATTTAGTTATCTATTATATTACTATATATATATACAAAAAGATTCTATTTATTTTTTTTATAGAAATTTCAAGATAATTTGTAAATTCAATTTAATAAAACGTGTAAAAAGAAATGGACCTTTGTAATTTCACAAACACCAATTTATTCTCATTTTATTTATAGATAGTTATGTAAATGTAAAATAAATAAAGATTTTCGCATGATATCGGTCAGATTTTTTCGCAAAGAAAATTTTAAATAAATTAAAAATATAAATGTCATCGATTCTGTAAATAATTAGTATGGATCCTTGTCTTTTATTTTTATTGTTATTAATTATTTGTTTGTTTGATTGATGACTTTATTCTAAATCAAGAACGATAATTATCAATAAAGAACTGCTTGATTCAAAACATACCAATAAAATCAAAAGGCTTCAAAATAATAATTTTAAATTTTATTATTTAATCGTAACAAATAAAACAATATTTGCATTTATATTTCTTGAATTTTATTATTAATATAATTTAAATATCGATTTTAAACCAATTGGCTATATAATAAATATTCCTTTAATTCTTTTTTGAGTAATTTCCTTCAACGGGATCAACTTTTATAGAATTCGCCACCAATATGGCAAAGTTCATTATTTGTGTAACACGTGATACCGCAGTACAATTTATTAAAACTTTTTTTGCTTAAATCTTAAAATATTTCATAATTATAACAACTTAAATATTTAAATGTAAATTCATAATTTTTTTACGTATATTCAAATAAATAATGTATATGTGCATATGCGTATCTATCTTGAAAATCGTTTCAATTATTTAATAGTATATTTATTTTACATAGATTAACATATAATATTTATATAATGATTTTTTTTTTACAATATTTTCTTAAATATAGAATTGGTCATCACAAAATTCCATGAAATTTTCAACCCATGGATTTTCATCTAAAACATATTGACAAGGATCGAGCGAATTTGATATGTCACAAACGTTTAAAATGTTTGGATAAATTATCGTTGGCTCTGAATAAGATAACTCATTATTTAGGTTTTCAAAGAAATTCATTGTAAAATTTTGGCAAACATCATTACTGATACTATCATTTTGTTGGAAATGTTGATGTTGTTGAGTGTTTCGTGGGGGAAATTCGCCGTTATCAGTTGATGGAGAAATGTTCAAAGGAGGAGTGTTGAAATAACTTTGATCAATGTGGTTTTGATGGTGGTGGTGATTATCAATGAAATTGATGTTATTGTCGTTTGGTATTTCATAATTTGTGGTCAAATGTTGAGGTAAAGTCACATCGTTGAGTGGCGGTGTCGGAATTGGCAGCATCGACACTATTTCTTGAAAATTCTTGTTTTTACATTCTAAAGTTAACTTTTCTTTCTCTGTCTCTTGTTTTGTTTTTTTATAAATTTTTCTCACTTCGCGTGCTATTTCTTTATATTTTGTTTTAACTTCTTCAGGTTCCGATTTCCAAGAAATCGAAACCCAAGGAGAAACATCTGTCATTTTAAATCGAAGATTCTGGGATACAAGTTCTTTAGTGTAAGCTTTTCGATAAATGAAAAAGGAATTAGGGGGCTTTGATGGTAGTTTCATGGTTTTTTCGTTGATCAAATCCTCAGGAATTATGTGAGGAGGAAAAGGTAATTTAAGTTGAGGAGGCGGGCTGATAATTCTACGTGAAGAAGAATATCCTGTTGATTGGGATGGATTGACCTTATTCATGTTGATACGTTGTTGATAAGGGATTTCAGCTTTTTGGCTGTTGTGACGTTTGTATGATTTTTGAAAAGGTGGGGAGGATTTTTGCATTTTGGGAAAAAATTAAAAAAAAGGACGAGGGTTTTTTTTTCGAAATTTTTTAATAATAAGCAGAAAGATATGTAAATATTTTAAATGAAAGTTTAGAAGAAATAAGTGTACTTGGTATTTATTTACATTCTCTGAAAAAAATTGCAAGTTCGATTTATTTATAATTCCCTTTTGGTGGTGTTACGAAATTATTCGGTAATTAAAAAAAAACAAACAACAAGATATGTGACCAAAACCAGTTATGATCACCATTATGTTATTCAAAAGTGGCTGATGAATTCATTTTCACCAAAATTAAAAATATTCGATTCAAAAATACAGTTTATCGTTGTCATTTTTATTTCATTTATTAGAATTCATTTCCTACTTATATAGAGAATAAGGGAATTTATCGATGCCATTGAGTATATTTTTTTTTCATTTAAAAGTGTTGGCTATGATTTTAATTGGTTATTGCTATTATATATATAAACATTGAATGACATATAAATCAATTCGTAATTAATATTGAATAGATAGGATCTTTTCCTGTGTACATATACATAATTATCACTTATTAATGATTTAAAGATTTTTTTCGTTTTATTATATTTAGCGGAGCTGTTTATAATAAAATTTCCAGTTTTTTGATTAATCTAAATATATATATATTATAATAAAAGGAATATTCTATACAACCTATCTAATCAAAAGATTCTCTCACAAGAGCAAAAAGAAATATGTTTTCACAAATAATCAACTTAATTAATTTGAATAGTTTGTTTTTGATGAAAATCTTATTACTTGGGAAACAATCAATAAACATGTCGCCGTTGTTTAAAAATCAATTACTTTAGAGTTCTAACTTTTGATCCAACAAACCTTTGGAACGAAAATATTTAATCGATGTTGTAATACTTTTTATATTAATGCCACTACAAACGAGCAGGAAAACCTTAAACTTCAATAAATACAATAATGTTGAGAAATATAGATTCTATCAAAGCATCAATAGTAATTCTATCTTTATTATTTTTATCATTCTCCATAGTATTTGTGTTTCGGAAATCATTATCCTCGCCCGTCTGTGTATAGATCAATTATTCTTATTTTAAATAACTATTATTAGTAAATAAATAAATATTGATGATTTTATCTTGTGGACGAATAATCTATGCCGATTGTTATAATCACGTAATTATAAATATTCAGTATATTTTTATCACGTGATTAAGAAGTCGCGCATTATTTCGGATATATTATGCGTGTAAAAAAAACAAACATGCAAAATTTTAGAACAAAGGATGTTTTTATTACGTTAAATTTTTGTTATTGTTATTAATATAAACAACAA